CAGAAGCACAGCCTCCATCGATACAAATGCATATGAATATAGAGAGCCTTCAATCGTCCTCGAGGACCGTTGGGAGTTGCAATGGAGTCAAAATACTTGAGCGTTTACTTAAGGTACCTGATATCCTCACCATTCTCCAGGAGGCCTGCAACCGGTGCGAGGGCGTTGGGCCAGGAGAGGGGCGGAGGCCTGCGATGAATTGCAGCGCACCTTGCAGTGACGGGTGCTGCACGGCAACTCCTCACGCCTGCACAGCCAAGTCGTAGTACTGCATGGACCAACACTGTAGGCCATTATCGAACACTTATTTGGCCGTCCATAGCCGACCTCCAAAAAAGTAAAGCTGAGCGTACCAACCTCAAAGAGAATGTTATATCTGGCCCCCCACCAACCCGCGCAGCACACGTCCTCGTGCGCTGGGGGTGGCGGACTAAGGGTTTGGGTCCGTGCCGAAGTTTCTGAAGCTGCATCTCATGCTGTTGAGCGCAGCTGAAGACCAGCGGGCACCCGTAGAATTGTATGCTTGTCTGCGAGGCCGCCAAGCCATCTCAAGTGTTGCGGCGTGCCTGCAGCACTCTCGATCTAGCGCTCTCTACATAGCAGATTGCTGCACCTCATGCTGCAAGGCAACCAGGCAACTACGCTCTATATGCATGCATTGACAGTGTAGACATTCGTTGAACACTTATTTGGCCTTGCATAGCCAGACCGCACACGAGTAAACATACGCATGCCAACTCCCGCAGACAGTGCAACAGCCAACGATCAATTTCATTGCTNAACAGCCAACGATCAATTTCATTGCTCTGCAACTGAAACTAGCTAGGTTTCGAATTTCCCAGAAGAAGACTTTAACTCTGTTTTATGCAAAATAAACCACATGCCAAGTTTGTGAGTGTAACCTCGCGAGGATATCCTGCATACCTGCTCGGAACCTGTAACACGCCCTTAGCGAGCGGAGGGGGATGCATGCTCCTCCAGAGCCCTGGCTCGAATAGACAAGTTGGGACTTTCCGCAGTCCACCACATATTAATTTTGTTGTGTGGGCTTTCCCATTGAGGTTTCATGCAATCTTGGGTACCCAAATATGGACCGGCAGGCAGCTGCTGTCGAGACGACAGTCTCCGCGGTGCCGGAGGCGGGGGAGCCCAACAAGGTTTCGGGACTCGAGAATATAAAGGGGAAACCCAGTTCCTCGAAGAAGCGAATCAATGTGCGCTCTTTGACTTTGATGGCTGCGGGATTCGTATTGCTGCTTGCAGTGGGCAAGAGTCTCGCTCCTTTTGTGAAAGGCGCTCCCCGTCCAGCCTTCCTTGTACGTGATCAGCCACAGGAACAAAGGCCAGAGCGTGATGACTGGGGGCTACCTTCACTTGAACACTTCGAACAGACTCTTCCTCCCAAGCTTAGGNGCCAGAGCGTGATGACTGGGGGCTACCTTCACTTGAACACTTCGAACAGACTCTTCCTCCCAAGCTTAGGCAGGGCAAAGAAGCACTTGCTGCTTGGGCCAACGAGCTCTGCTCTAGCGGTGACACGAGGGCAAAGGCAGGGGCTCAGCAGCTTGCTGTTGCTCATGCACTCTCCAAAGGCTCGAAGGACTCTCTAGTTGGGTTGACGTTTGTTCTTAAGAATGCGCGGCCTCTCAACTGGAGCATGGTAGACACTCCATTGCCTCAGAAGCTGCGGGTTACCAAAGTTTTGGATTATTATCGCTGGAATTTAATGGTGATTGCCGAAGATGTCGAGACTAACCGGGAGTATTCCGTTAATATACCCGTCATTGACAGGGCGGATTGTGAGGGCTACGACCTAGAAACGTTTCAGCGATTAGTGCGGCAGACAGCTCGGGAGGAGGAGCATGCAATGCTGCAGGCATGCGGTAACACTCCAGCTAACTTGGCGGCCTCAAAGAAGGGCATAGCTGTCACAGTATACACTGGGGAAATATCAGG